GGAAAACTAGATTTTAGTACTTTCCCTGTTAGTAATGGCACTGACAGATTTGTGTGACTGTACAATGTGGATAATGGCATTCCAAGATATTACCAAGTAAAGGACACCTGGGGGTATCACCTCAGTCAGCCCAATATAACCACCTCACTGAAGTGCTATTTCCATGTATGTGACCTTCCTTTAGCTGTTAAGCTGAAGCTAAGGGAAAGCAATTTCATTGACATAATTGTTTTCTTGGTTTGTTGCAGCCACAGGTTGTTCAGATGTAAGCAATTAGCAAACAGGTAAACTCATAAAAATAAGACACTGCTTCCCAGTTCAGCAGAATTTTCTCTTTTTATGAAGAGCCAAGACTATTTACCAATTTCTCTGCATAATGGCAATGCTTCTTGTAGAAATTTTTTGTTCTTAATGTTTCTCCTGCACAAAGGAAAACATTACTTAATGTTTTCATTTGGTTCCTCTGTGGTACAGGTGCACATGCCTAAGCACAGTTGGCTCCCTGTTAGCTTTCCAAAAGACTTGTCACAGAAAAGAAAATTATGTGCCAGCACAGCATTTAGCAATGGGGTGAAGAAAGGGAAGGGGAAACCCAGCAACTGTACTTACCTTCTTAAATAGATAGCTTTGCACTAATGGAGCGTGTTTCTCTGTGTTATTTAAGTAAAACTCGTCACAGGAAACAAAAATATTTTCCAATTTGGCTTTAATGCAAAACCTATTCTTTGCTCTTTTGCATACATCAAATCTCAGCCTCTCTATACACCTCTGACAGGAAGCTGGCATGAAAGGCAAACACAACCAGGTGCATCCTGGCAGGCAAACCATTCTGAAGATGTTAGTAGTCATGCTTGGTGGGAAAAGAGGGGTTGGGCTTGTTTTATTTGATATCTATACTTAGAATATAGGATATGTGTAAAAACTAGGTTTGGATTAATTTGATTTTATCCATCTAAAAGGCAGACATGTAATCTTAATTTTCTAATGATGATGGAGCTTTCCTCCACTATCAGCTGGACATCGCAGATACTGAAATTTTAGAATTGAAGTAATTGCCCCTGCAGGTATCTTTATCCTAATACCCTCCTTAGAGATGCTTTAGACAATTAACACTGACGAAACACCTCCCTAAAATTAAGGGCAATGTGTCTGTCCTTGGCTACTCTGTCTAATTAGAAGTGCACAGAACTATTTTTTCCAATGTGAAATAGGCAAATATGGATATTTATATGTTTGTTTCTATTCAGCCTACTGGCTAAATTTATTTTCATTGATAATCAGATTCAGGTCCTCACTTTACTTCAGATTTTCTTGTGTAAAGAAAACATTAACATTCCTGAATTTTCATTACATTTCATAAATCCCATGAAATATTTATATGCAAACTCACTCAAACTTTACGGCATAAATCTTCAATGTTTGTATTTTCTTGGTTCTTTCTGCATATTTTAGTAGCATATTTTGAGGGAATTTCAGACAGGCATTTCCAAAACAGTAACAGGCTTCAATAACTGCCTTTTGTAGACTGAAGTGACAGCTTTTGGGTTGGAAAAATCTTATCTTTTCTTTAATATTCAGTAGTATTACACTGATAGAAATACATCTATGATTCAACAGACTGAAATATGATAAAAAGCATTTAAAAATCCAAGTAGATTGATTGTGTGTAATCATTGCAAGAGAGTGAATTCAGCTAACAAAAGTGCTTTCTTACCATGCTTCACTGTGAAAATTTTACTTTTATATGGATATAGCTGTGCAGCACATTATTTGCAGCATATCAGCTGCAAATATGACCCTTTCAATTATTTTTCTGCATTTAAAATACTTGTTTAGAATTTCAGAGACTTGTTTCCTTTGCCAATTTCCTCAGCATCATTTTTATGAGCCAGTCAGCTCAGACAGTCTAATCTTTTTAGATGTCAGGGTCTTGTATTACATTTCCTATGTTACCAGGCAGGCACAGTGCTAAATGTCTCCACTGCAATTAAAGCAAACAAATAGCAACTTGTATCTGCCAAGACAGGCAGCTTTGACTTTGTGCACACCCACATAATACAATGGATATTTTTAGATTGTATACAGTAATTGGTGTGATGCTCAGTGATGACATTTGTCTCCTGTACGTAACTTGAAAACAAAATTAAATTGAGAGTGTGTATATTGCTATGTAGATTGATTACACATCTTTATTTTCTCACTGAACTTTAGTTTATAAACCATTATGGTCCATTCTGGTGTCTCTAGTTACAACCACTTGAAAGCATTAGCTCTTGCACAGCAAGAGTCCCTTTATGTTTGTTTACTAGAAATTAGCCTGTTACCCTACCTGGAACTAGGGCCTTCTTAAATAGGCCTGAAAGTATTCCAGCTGTGTCTTCTTTTTCATTACAGGTCTTGATTATGTTGGTTTTAACAGATATTTATCTGCAAAATATTTATTTTATTTTTTTTCACTTTTGCAAAAGGTTAACTAACAAAACTGGCACTGCATTGCAAGTCTGCAGCAAGCCAGTGTGTCTCTTAGCTTATCTGTTAGCTGGCAGAGTCATTTAGCTGCTTGCCTGTGTCTTCATAGCCTTTTTCCTAAAGCATTCAATGTATCCACCTCTCCGCCCACTAGCCCACCCCACTTATAATCATTTTTGAGACTGATTTTAGCTTTCCTCTGTTCAAGTAGTCTCATAAGAACTATACGCTATCTTATTGTATTTCCATACACCTCTAAATTGAAGCTTGATCTACACAATAGAGAAGCAAAAATACATCTTTTATAGAACAGCTGACATTTGGAAAGTTTAGACAAGCTTTTGGGTACAGTCTTTTATCATCTCTGATAACTAAACAACGACTCAAGCTAAGTACAGTTTAAAAGCAATTTCTCTTAGTTTAATCTCATTATGTTAATCAGCTCCTTTACTACATATATAACAGCTGCAGTAGCAACGAACAAATTTCAGTGCCTTAGAAAATGTCTTTCTCTTTGCACATCCTACCCATTTGCTCTAGAACACATCACAGCTGGTAGCTTAAAGCTATGGGTTGAAGTCTAGTACAGTGCTTCCAGGCACTTCATTTATCTGTCTCTTTGATAGGTGTACATACCAACTTTCATTCTTATAAAAACAGACTTCTTAATTCTGGTAGAGAAAAAGTGTAAGAAGAGGTAGCATCAATTCCTAGTTAAAAGCTGTCAAGAAAGCATGGACCTACAGATTTAAGTTCCTGTTTTGAGTTGCTTTGAATTAAATATAAAGATATAGCTTTCAGATCATAAAAGTATTTACTGTGAGAGTTTTATTTTTAAGCATTAAATTAGCACCATCAAAAGACCTCTACATCACTAAAATAATAAAAATAAAAATGGAAATATACCATTAGTCTCATTGCAGTTATCAGACATGATATATTTTCCTACTGGATCACAAATGGATCAGGACCAGGGCAAAGAGATTACATCTTGGGGAAAAAAGGTGTTACTTGCAAGAGGAGTCCATATGTACCTTCTTTAAAACACAATTTTCACCACCACACAAGGGAGGACAACTGTCCTGTAGTCACTGTAGAAAGTACCTTCTTGCTCATTTCCTTCTTCTGCTTGAAACATAGCACCTCCAAGGATGAAGAGAGTAGCTGCTGATTGATCAAAGTACAGCTTAGTCCTAGGGCCACACCTGCAAGAAACCTGAAGAAAAGGCAAAAATGCTAAATGATCATATGGGCAGCATAGCTCCAAAATTGCCTGCTATTGGTAAACACGTGTTCTTCTTTGAATAAATCATATGTATGTTCTAACAAGCCATTACCTCACCACAAATTTCCTATCAGAAAGGCCTCATATTCATCTTACAGGTAAGAGATGTTTTTTGAACACTGCACCAGCCCTCCCTCAATGCTGCAGCCGTTTGGTGAAAGCATTGCACTTCCTAGAGTAACAAAGCTGGGATTCAAGTAGTTTCAGCATAGCAAGAGAAGTGTTTCAGGTATTTCTTGTGCCTGTAGGGAGGAAAGCAAAAAGATGACTCCCAGGAAACACTAGTTCTACAATCCCTCTGCAGCTTTGCAAAAACTTATGCACAGCTTCAGACAGTACATATTTCTGCCTTTCTCTATTATTCTGGTTTATCAGATCTCTGTGAAATTCCAGTTGCATTGCCTCTTCAAAATATTACTGATCCCAGCTTAAGAATTCACCATCCAAACCAGGGAAATCCAGTTTTGATTTTTAATTTGTAGGCTGAATAAGTTCTTTAGCATAACAACTAATGTTTCAACAGTTACTGTCAGTGAAGGAATATACTTGTTCAGAGTTTTGATGCCAAAATAAGTGTATTTTAATTATATCTACTTTCCTGTTTGAAAACATCCTACAGATAAGCAAGTATGCTTGCAAAGCCCTAACTGCATCAAAGAATAAGATATTACTGTCTCAGTGTCAGGACAACAATCAAGAGAGTTGTTTTTTAAATATGGATGTAAATAATGTAGAAAAGGGTGTAAAATATTGTTTCATTAGTTCCTCATTTGACGGTTATTTCATTATATCACATTCATGGTGAGAGGATAATCCCTTTAGCTCAACAACAACTTATTAACCATGTTCTATCAATGAGAAATAGCCTTTTTTCTAACAAAACAAAACCCATAAACACTCCTGCCTCCAGCTCATAATGATTTTCTATAAGTGTATCAGAGGCATAGCAGACAAAGGGAGCTTGGTAGGAAAAGCAGTGACACAAAATTGGGAGATATTTCTGCAAATATAAAGCTAGATTGCTGTACATGTTGTGTGTGAATATTTCTGCTGTTTAGTGAAAGCCTGTGACTCAGTTGCATGAAGCAACTGCAAATGAAGTTAAATTTTCTTGACTTTCTGACAGTTTGGGGCTTCACAAAGAAATGAGTTTTGGAAAGCTGGAAATGTGAGAATGTAGCTGGTGGAATATTTTTAAACCCCTTATATTTCAGAAAAACAAAGAAAACAGGGCAAAAGCGAGAAGTGCTTTTGTGGATCTAGTTTATTAATCAGCATTGTAATTAACAAGACCACATGCTGTACAGAAACCTGAAATAGAACTACTGCAGATTTACTGGACTTTAAATGCTGCTGGACTGTAGTATATGATGTCCAACTGCATGATGTTTAAAGTGTGGTTAGGTCTGTTTCAATACACAGACATACACTGCTCACTCTCAGATCCTGTAGTATGCCATAGAGCAGGGAGGTTTCCCAGAAATACAAACTCAAATATTTACAAGAAATCATCAGTCTCTTTCTTCACTAGGGATAACATAAGTTATACACATTTTTCTCTATGTATACCAAATAAAATCTTTGCCTTCAACTTTACTTTGTGTCTGCACAAACGAATCTCTTCCTTTTTATTTATCCCATTAAATTATGGTAGTAAACTGCACTGCAATCATTTAATTGATAATAATTCATTAAGGATTGGTATTAAAGCTGCAAAAGCAAAACTTGAGCAAACAAAGTCAAGGGTAAATTTTCAAGCTTTAAAAACTCCAGCTTTAGAAGCCTGAATCAAACAACCTTGAGCTAATCAACTGTTACTGACCAGAAATTATTTAGGTCTACTGCCTTTGGCTTGACCATGCTGGAAGCAGTGTAATAATGGTAGATCAGCGCTGATGGGGTTCCATGCTGGATTACAGCTTGTTCAGCAGAGCAAACTTCACTTCTCTTACAACAAAACCCAAACAGATCTATACACACTGGGGTCACAGATGTCCAATACGAAGTGGCTGCTCTCCTCCAGCCCTACACGAACTAAAAAGACCTGGCTGGATTCAAAACCACATAACTAATGTTATGTCAAGCTAGCTGTTATGCTAACATTCATAAGCCCTCCGGTCCTATTAGCATGGGCTCATTGCCATGATAATTAGCTAAATGACCTGCATCCTGCCAGCTCACAGCCCAGAGAGAGCAGGTGCTCAGTAGTCTCTGTCTAGCCAAGCAGACATGCCTAATGATTCTTTCTTCAGAATTAAGTTGCACTTTATGATACAACAGAGTTCAGGAAAACAAAGAAACCGCGTATTTTACTTCAAACAGTTCGACCTCACTTCTTTATTTTATTTTTCAATCATTGACTGCTTTCCAGTACGAAAGAAGTTCCTTCCCTTCCGCCACCACTACCTATAACTTTGATGCAGAACTCAGAAATGCAACAAGCATGTGCTGAATTTGGCGGGGGGGGGGGGTAAGGAGGAAGGTGTGGGAATAACCTAGGCTAGACTGTGTGACACATCACTTTGAAGGCAAAGGTTTTCCTTTATCGTTACACTGTATGAAACAAATCTAATCATGTAACTACCATTTTACTGTATATTGTATATAGGATTGTTTTCTCCACAAATTCACACAAGTAAGATAAAATAAGTTAAATGGCTAAAAAAAAATACACAAAAATATACAGTCTATGTACTAGATAAATTATTTATATATATGACAAGATGTGTAAAGAGTCTCTATTAACGTTATTCCTCTGGATACTGACATGCCACTCAAAGAAAATCGTTGCCTCAAATGCATGGGTTTATATATCAGACAGGTAATATATAAAAATGAGGGAACCATTTAAGTCCTGACACAACATTTACTTATAATTAATTGTTCTGTATCTTGTTTGACACAATTTTAGAATATCACAACACAATTTAATGGATATAAACACTTAACACTTCCTATAATCAGATTTATCTTTACAATTCTGCTTCTTTAAGCAAGTCTTTTTTTGCTGTTTGGTTTTGGTGTTTTGCAGGGATTTTTTTTGTTCTTTTGTTTTCAAGAGAAAGGGGTATTGGTTATTTTCTACTGTACCTTAGGCATTCCCCCTCTTTTCCTCCTCCAAAACCCTTAAATATTCAAATCTGAAGTTTGTTTTTTCCCCTGCCTATGAAAAAACACTAGTTCTGGTTCCTTCACCTTTTCCTATGAAAATCCTAACATTTCAGAAATGCTATTTTTTGCCAGAAAATTTCAGTTACAACTTTCAGTCAGAATGGAGACGTTAGAGGCCAAAAAAAAAAAAAATCAGACTTTTCCAATTCAGCAGCCAACTCTGTAAACATTTGCTGTGGCAGCCTTCTGTAATAAAACCTGAAGTCCTCTGCTACAATAGGAAGCATTAGCTGTCAGCATTATTCTGAATTTGCACGATTAATATGTTTGGTAAATCTGTGTAAACTACAGATAAGCTTTCTTTTGCATATCCCTGAAAAGGACTTCCTCGTCGTGAAGTCTCCAAAGGAAACAACAAACAGCTTTGTATATATTAGGTATGAATTAATCTGTCACATTTTTAATTGTCCTGGAATCAGAAATGAGTTGTCAGCTATTGTGTGTCAGTACCCAAAGGATTATTATTTTTTTCCAGGATTTACATGCAACTGGAAGCCAGTGTGCCACATCTTTTCTAAATGTTACTGAAAACTACATTAAAAAAAGGAAAGGAAAAAAAGTACATCATTAGATAATCTGATGTCCATTAATTAAACTCTATCAGTAGGTTAAAAGTGAAGCTTCTTTTGTTTTGCACATAAAATCTAAATGTGGTTTGAAGAGATTTACAGTGGGGACAGCAATATATAAAGCTACTTATACCTGCTGGGCACATAAGAGAAGCTCTTTTAGCATTCATTGGAAACCCTCGACAACTTGAACTTCTGTAAATTTTACAAGCAGCTAATATTACAGCATTTTTACACACAGTTTTGCTTATAAATTACAGATTTAAGTTACAATATGAAGCCTACATAGAATTCTATCCATAGGAAATATTCACACACTGTTTTTTCCCCTTCCATACAACTTCGATTGTCTCAATGTTGCAGTAAAATTAAACAAAGTTACACAATTTTTTTAAAGAAAAAATTTCTTGGTAGGTACATAGTGTAAATGGCTGAACAGCAACAAAATACGAGAAGGTAAAAGTGCTTTTTCATCTAAGAAAGGAACCTACTTTTCATCCACTGTAGATTTTACCAGCCTTTTTCTGCCAGTATTAAATACCCTCCAGTACACAGAACACAACAAAAATTCGCTCATCTTTAACAAGACTCATCTTTGAGACTTGATCAAATAATCTGACCGGGGTGTGCTTATGATTACACTTATCCAGCTTTCAGTACCCAGATTCTGTCAGTCATTCTCTAATAAACTAAGCCACAATGACAAGCGCTCCTCCATCTAATAGGTTGTGGTGAGGTAACTAATAATCTAGCTAACCTTTTACTGTATACTTACAATAGGTGAATATAGCTGGAAAAACCCGCCATATGCATCACTATAATAATCTTTTAAACACCAGTAGCTTGCAGCCACATCACATCAGCCAAAATAACTACCCCATTTTCCTACTGTTTTCAGCAGTGCCCAAATAAATTTCAACTAACGGGTACAGTAGCCAAAGCAAGCTCTGCAAGATGAAAAAAACTAGACCAAAACAAAACATAGGCTTATGGCTTGAAAAGCATAATATGTATCATAGTGTTGCTTGTATTATTGTAGAAAGGAAAATCTTGGAAATTAAAAAAGTTACTTGCAACTTTTTTTCCAGTTTTGATCTTGCTTATCCTATCATTGTCATGTTGTTTATTTCTCACAGAAAATCCTAGTTGAGAGCTTTCTATTTAATCTATTTCATTATTTCAAAGAATGAATACCTGTAGATTGACCCAAAAATATTAAAATCAAAAGCAGTTGTCATGTCTTTAAGTATATTTTCCCTTTTAGTTACATAAAAAATAAATTTTGGTGGAAAGATATACTAGCCTTCTTAAAAATTAGATTTTAGGATCTTACTCATTCTATTATGTAAGGTAATCAGATGGGAAATTGCCCACTTGATCACTATGCTAGGCAAATGGAAGATGAAATCTATGAATACGCTATAAATTATAAAAACAAAGAAAAAGCTGAATAAGCTATATTTAGACTAATATTCCCCAAACTGTACTAAGAAATTGCTTTCAACAGGGAGGAAGAACTGCTCACAGATATTTGTACTATAAGGCCCATACAAGAAAATGAACAGAATTTTGCCTTTTCCTTTTGACAGTTTCTGGGTTGTGGGTTTTCTTCCCCATTTGGTGGATTTTACCAAGAACCGTGGTAAATTTCTTTAAACTAAGTTCGAAGGATTTAGCTTTTCAATTTCAAATTTAGGATCCTATATACATAAATGCTCACAAGCCTAACAAGTTTGTATATGCGCTAAGAACAGTGTTAGGCTGTGACTATATACAGTCACACTTAAAGCCTGAAATAACAGATTTGCCAGATATGAATTTATAGCTGGTGCTCATGTATAAACGTAGTGCTGCTCCCAGACACCGGTGCCTGGTGGGATGCGGCGAAGTTTGCCAGAGGAATGACTTTGACAGGATCTTCACTGGCACAAAGTCTTTCGCAGGTGTTATAGAACTGGGGCCTGGGCCCACCCTGGCCTTTGTCAGTGTCATCCTTTGGAAGAGGCCTCCCAAGAGTGTGTCGTCCCTCGGGTCTGGCTCCTCGGCCCCAGCCTTGCTGGAAGCCAAACGATGGCAAAGAGGTGTTGGACTGCTGATACTGTGTCAACGAAGGTGGCATCCAGCAGTTGTCAGAATGGCCGAGGATGAGACACTCCTGTGTGCAGGTTTCAGAAGCTTCAGCCAGGGCTTTCTGCAGATTTATTTCAATAGCTGGGAGGATGGAAGAAGACAAGACATTATCAGAGTTTCGAAGAATGATGTGTACAGACAAGCAAGGTTAACAACGCAATTCTTGTTCTAAAATAATGGCCACAGTCTGGAAAGAGAACACCTCCAGGTGTACAACTCAAGTAAAGGTTCAGATGTTTTCAATCTATTACTGTTGTCATTTGCTATAATCAGAAAAAAAGTTAATGTTTAATGAACAAACCTTGTAACATTGTACTTACAATGACCTTTTCACTTTTAGAAATTTTGTGTAATAAAGCTAAATTACAACAATATAATACCATAATTCTGTATATTTGCATACAACTACTTGAAAAATATAATTATTACAATTAGGATTTTTTTTAATATTCTCTGAAAACTAGTGTTTTTAATTGTTTTTCTTTGCTTTAGGCAAAACAGAATTAATTTGGACACATAGCCAAAGATGGCACATTCGCTTCAAAGATGCACTCAAGAGCTTCAAGAATGAAAGACAGTGTAACAGCCATTTTAAAGAGAATTGATTTCTCCATACATTTGATACTGGAAACCTTGACAAATCAAAGGGCAATAGCAAAAGAAGCTGTAAGCTCTGTAGTTTACTAGTAATCAATCCAGACTTCAGTAGATGCAAGGTTTGTACCCTTGAAAAAGGATTATAGAAATCATAATTTCTTCAAAGGCAAAGTAAACCACTAAATCTGAAAGACATAATTTGCAATACATAAACACTCTTGATCAGTTTCATTTAAATTTCAGCTTTACAACATTCGAAAATTCAGACTAATAGAATTAAGCTTTTACAAATCATTCCATTAAACTGTTTTTACATTATATGTGTTAATTTTATATTCTCTTGCTGTGTACATAATTTCAATATATCAGGAGTGAAGAAGAGTATCTGATTAGATATTTCACTGTTAACTTCAAAAAACTTTCCAATGAATGTTACAAAGGTATTTTTAATATCTGTCTTCATGAAAGTAACACTTAAAATTGGATTCTGTCTCACCACCACTGGAGAAGGTATGCTGGTAGGAATTACTTATAGCAATACAAGTTCTGAGTAGGAATCTCTTCCCCTCTGAGCTTTATGTTTAAACACATGCTGCATTTCTATTTTAATAAATATTTTGCCTGTTGAAATCTGTGTAAATCTACAAAGCACAAATACATATTTCCATGTTACATCTCAAATGTATGAAGTTTTTCCTTCAGGCATTGAAATACATAATGCTGCTGTCCAAAATACAGAAAACCTTTTTTTCAAATCTACCACATTTAAGTAGACAACTGGTTGCTTGTTGTAACATCAATGCTATATTCTTGATTATTTCTGCTTCTTATGTTGCATGAGTATGTGCCAGTTAGAGAAATGATTGTTTATAAGCGCTATTTTGCCCTATTACTGGCATTTCAAGATGTCTTCAGTCATTTTGCCTCACTGTTTTCCAGTGTAATCCTGACAGAGATTGGCACCCTCCTGCTGAAATACTAATCCAGTTTTGATGGGCAGCAGGAGACATAAATATGGAAATAATTCAGCAATAGCAATAGTTCCTGAAAAAAAAAAAAGTTGTTACTACTGGTAGATTAGTCTAATCTTTTTGTGTCCTACTATCTGCTATCACAGACATAAATTTGAGTATATACAAGTCTTGTTAAGCGATTTAATTATCCAGGTTTGCTTCTCTTCTGATCAAGGTAATTCACTGAAATCAGACACAACCTTGCAGTGTTGAGTTATCCCCATTTTATACAGAAACTGATCTTTTTTTGTATTTATTAAAAAAAAAAACAAAACAAAACATTTGTGATACCCAGTACCTCAGTGTTTCTTTTTATCTTGAGGTTTTCTAATCACTCTTAAAATCCTATTAATTCAGTTAAAGTGAAAACCATACAATTATTTACTTGGAAATACTTATGCAATTCTAGCTCTTCACAGCAAGCAGTTACAATACTTGTATTATCTCTCAGACTTTAGTAAGAGTAAACAAAGCTAAGCATAAAAAGAAGCATTTGGCAATAAAAACTTAACGTTCAAGCTTTAGACAAGGCAATTGTAGAAACAAAAGGTCACTTATAAAACATTCTCTACACCTTTTTGACAGATCAGTAGGACAGTAATTTTGTGCCATGACTACCTGTAGACTTGGAATATGTTACCATCCTAAGAATAAGAACATTGTCAGAATGACAGTCTTGTTTATTCTGTTAATAAAATGTTTTACTTGAGTTTTAGTTTTATGAAAAAGAAACAAAAAACCCACAAACTAAAAATCCTGCACATAATCACAATTTATGAATGCAAATGATGTTGGTTTTGAGTTGGGGTTTCATTATACCACAGTCTGCCAATGCAGGATTGTTTACAAGATACACCTGCTGCAGTAGTCATAATCTTTCTTTCAACGTTGGTATTTAGTACATGTAATCTCGATTGCCAAAGCATGTTTTTCTTTGTTAATAACATTTAAAATATACAATGAATATAGTGTGAAGCAGGCAAGGTCCCCCATAACTGCATTTAAAGGAACTTAGAAAAATCTCATGAACTGATCTGCTGCAATAGCAGTACTAGCAAGGATAATTGGGATGCTAAATAGTCTGTGTTTGGTATAAAGTAAGAATAAATAAAACCAACAGTACAAAATACTGTTTTTAGCACAATGAAGTAAAAACTACTCTTAGAGCATCATTCATCTGTTTTTGAATGAACCTAGAACAAAGCGTAGGAAATTTTCTGCATGAATATTCATAAGGCATTATCTTTTTTGCCTGTTCTTCCAGGCCATGAAATGTAGCTTCTTCCTGTTAGTCTAATTTATTTTCTATTTTCCTAATGTATAGTAATTCTCCTTCTTCTTTAGCACCTGAAATCCTTCTAAACAGCTACTTGACACTGCCATTATACTGTCATCTAAACAATACTTTACTTATTAAAAATACATTTTTAACAATACCCTGTTAAAACCCAGAGAGCTTTATGTCAGCAATGTATTATACTAATGGTGCCAATTTACAATAGAATGCAGCTGATTTCCAAATATTCTATTACTGACTTTTGCATGAAGAGGTCACTGCAATTCAGCACCCTGTCTAGTTTCCCTCCACCACTTGCTGCCCACTTTAAACAAAGGATTCCCTGGTGGGCTCAGCTGTGCATCCCCACAAGACCATCTGAGGAAGAAATCAAGCTTCCCTTGATTCTCTTGATCTCTTCTCTGCCCAACCTGTAGCTGTGCCTGGGATTGCTCCGACCCAGGTGTAGGACCTTGCACTTGCCATGCTTAAACTTCATGAGGTTGGCATCAGCCCACCTCACAAGTGTGTCGAGGTCCCTCTGGATGGCATTCCTTCCCTCCAGGGTACCAACTGAACCACACAGCTTGGTGTCATTGGCAAACTTGCTGAGGGCGCGCTCAATCCCACTGTCCATGTCAGCAACAAAGATGTTGAACAAGACCGGTCCCAACACTGATCCCTGAGGGACACCACTCGTTACTGGTCTCCAGCCGGACATGGAGCCATTGACCACAACTCTTTGTGTGCGGCCATCCAGCCAGTTCTTTATCCACCGAGTGGTCCATCCATCAAATTGATGTCTCTCCAATTTAGAGACAAGGATGTCGTGTGGGACAGTGTCGAATGCTTTGCACAAGTCTAGGCAGATGACATCAACTGCTCTACCCCTGTCCATCAGTTCCGTCACCCCATCATAGAAGGCCACCAAATTGGTCAGGCAGGATTTCCCCTTAGTGAAGCCATGCTGGCTGTCACCAAGCACCTTGTTGATTTTCATGTGCCTTAGCATGCCTTCCAGGAGAATCTGCTCCAAGATTTTGCCAGACACAGAGGTGAGACTGACTGGTTCCTTTTTCTGAGTATTTTCAGAAGAAATGATGGTTGTTCACTACTTAAGTCCAGTGTCTAGTAACATCTTCTCACATAAGATATGACTTGTTTATAAATGGAAATAGAAGGGTGCATATCCCCCATGTATTACAAATAAACAATACATTCCATCAAACTCTTACCAGTCTACCTCATTTCTTACTTCACTGAGTAATAAAGCCTTAATTTTATGTATTATTTTCATACTACATAGAGACTCCTCAACCATGACATACAAGCAATATGAAACAGAATTTTTAATTCATAGAATAGATCACACTCCTGCACATGTGAGTTTACCACTTTGATTCAAACTTCAGATTGTTTTAGGAATGAAACTATTTCTTAAATTGTCTGCCTCAGAACTGAGAACAGTTTTAAAGAACGTGTCTGTCGGCTCTTATGAAATGTTTAGATCAGAACTGTCAAATATAACTAAAAGCACAATAGTTAAAAGTCTTCATTGTTCCACAGTCTTTATCATTTATAGGTCAAATCAGTTTTGAGTAAAAGTATTTGTTTTCACTTAAGAAAATGTGGAATTCCAACCTTGCAAGGTAGCTTGAAAACAATTATAAAAAAAAAACCACAACCATTTGTTGTTGGTTTTTCCCTTTTTATTTTGGTTAGACACTTTCTGAGGTTATAAAGTCTGCATAGTGTTTTACAGATAGTAAATAAAAATAGTTGTTATCATCTTTGCTTTTGGGGAATGAAAGCTGAAGGACTCTACAATCCTACTCTCCCTCTCACTCTATAAGATCTCTGGCACAATACTGCCTACTTTGGCATTTCCAGCTTAAAATTATATTACATTTTTAAAACTATTTCTCTGAAAGAATTCTCAAAGGAATACAGGCTGTTAGTATGGCCCTGTTATCAGCAGTCTCTGGATGCTGAAAAGTTAGAATCATAGAACCACAGTATCATCTAGGTTGGAAAAGACCTTTAAGATCACTGAAGCATGTACTTGGTGTATACACAATACACTTTCTTTTATATCCCTATGCCCTCCCCCTCCACCTCCAAAAGAGAGACATACTGCTAAGACAGTATCAAGAGGGATGGTACCTTTCTCAGTCTGCATAAAGTCAGCACCTGCA